TCAAAATAAAATAAAATAAAATAAAAGGAGAAAAGCACTTTCCAATCCCTGATAGCTTACCGTTGCACTGACCGACCTGGTCGGCTTATCTCAGAACCTACTCCCTTTCCCTCTACGATGCGATTTTTGGCAATTGTATCGCACACGTACTTTAATAACCTAGACAATCTAGGGTAGGTTAGATAGCATCTCCCGATCGTAAAGACCTAACCTAAAAGGTCAATCGTCAAGTTGTGGTACCAAGGTTTGCATTTGACTTGGCATCTCGATTTCTCGATTTCTCGATTTCCCAGCCACCCTAGGTTATCTAACTTGTAGAGTGTCCGTCCTGTATCGTAATGAGGACGAGCATCAGGTACCTAAAGTAGGTAGGTCCTATTTTGAGAAGGGAATGTGATTGACGTCATAAAGAGAAAGTAAATAGGTATTTGGAGTCTGCTAGAACTAACCTAGGTATTTTCACAAGAGATATATTCTTTGGTTCTATTTGTTTCCTATTATGAGCCTTGATCGTGGGAAGTGAGCCGAAGCCGACGATAAAGAGACTGGAACAGGCAGGTAGATTGGGTAGGTTGGCGTCACACCGCTAGGTTATAGGTTCATGAACCAAACCTGTAGCCCTGACAGGTTTTAGCCGCATCAGACCCGACTGAATTAGCGCCTGGATAGCGGGGTGGTACATTTTTTTCTCTCCCACATCGAGAGGTACAACCCCACTATATGTCGGCGACAGCACAATGGATTGTACCATTTCCAGTACATAACCGACCAACCACCTGTGCCAACAAGGAACCTGGTTGCGCAAAAGCTCTCCCCCGGAAGCACCACTCCCCTCCCCCCCAAAGAGCTCGAAGCTCCCCCGTCAAATTCCAGCCCTCCCTTTTTAATCCACTAAAACAACCTGGCCTGCTGTCATACCTAATTTCCAGGCTGCCCGGTGTCTTTCTTTGTCCTCGCCAACACCTCCTATCCGCCTGCGCATTTTTACTTTCTTCCTACTTAGTCTCGTCCGACAAGAGACGAAAGCGAAAACACAAAAGTCAGCGCAGTTTGCCTTGGTTTGCGCATATACCACCGAATAATTCCTGTCGCTTGTTTCACCCGGTACCGATATCTTGTCCCCGAAGTCTGCTACTATGGGAAGCTTTGTTTTCAAGTGGTAAGTTTGGTCATCCGAACTATCTTCCTCTTGTCCGACAAGATGAGACGATGCGCCCAAGATCCGCGCATACGGCCGCATTCGCTCCCTCTTGAATGTTTTACGGGCGGCTGAGAGCTTGTTGTAGCCGCCTTGCCCCCCCCCCCCCCCCCCCTCCGAACATTTCCCCTAAATCCATTCGGACCGACGTCCTTCGTGATACTTTGTCCTCCGTCTTGCGACGCAGCCCGTTGAACAATCTGCTAACACTGCAATTGTTGTATTACACAAAAGGGACCATCCCGCCACCGATGTCTACGTGACCGGTACCTTCGACGACTGGAAGAAATCGGAGAAGTTGGAAAAGGTCGGAGATAGCTTCGAGAAGAAGGTTACGCTTCCCGATGCGTCCAGCAAAATATACTACAAGGTTCGTCAGTCTAGACATTACTTTCTTTCAGCAGTCGGCGGCCGTCCAAGTTTCCTTTCGAGCCTACCTGATGGTATGCGCATCCACATCGTTTCGATCCGCAAGCGCCGCGATCCCATGAGCCCAGTCAAACCTACCCAAATCTCTTCTATCCCAAATATGCAATCTAGGCAGTCATAGTTGTTTGTCAGGGGTTTGACTGAAAGCCCCGGATTGCCAAATACGCTTGTGAAACGTGAGGCGCCTGCACAGCCACCAGTGTTACTCTAGCGCATATACGTACAGCCAGAGACATTATGACGCAAACCGCGATTTTAGGGGCCGGGATGTCAGTTTTAAGTGGTGCTTGATTTGGAGCAGCTCAGCGATGCAGTCCGCGATCCTGATAGGCCAATTGAGATGGGTGACTCTTTGGTCAGATTGCCCAGTGAATCACGTTCGGAAATCCACAAGAGCAAGTGCTGTAAACGCCCGAAATATGGATTTTTTTTTATCATAGAAGGACCTTGCCTACTATCTGCCATATGTGTGGTATGATCTGGCTCTACGAGAGATATCGAGGAATGGATCGGCCTTCGCTTTTCAACAAGCCCAAGAACAGACAATTTGCATTTTCGCGGAAGATGGAGCGATGAAGAACGAACAAGACTGGTTTACAAGGAAATGTATTGTCGCGAAGACGATGCAGGTATCCGCAGCTAGCAAGCTTAAGCCGGGTTCAACTTTGAACTGTGGAACTTAGCGTCTTCCGTCCTACCTACGGTGCTCATCACTTCGTCATGGAACCTGCTTTTCCCTAAAACCCGAACTTGGAAGCTGCTGTACACCTGGCTCCCGTCCAAATTATTCGCTCAGCTTCCCCATTCAGTTAACCTAGCTGCCTACACTTCTTGCCACTCAATCTTTGTTGGTGAACTAACCGGTTGCTTTTCTTACAGTTCGTCGTGGATGGTGAATGGGTAACCGACCACACCGCAGCGAAGGAAATAGATGGCAGCGGAATCGAAAACAACGTATTAACTCCTGAGCAAATCGTGTCAGAGGCACCCGAGACTACTGCCATCATGAGTTCCGCTGCACCGGAATCGACCACAGCTGCTTTGGCCGCCGATGCCCCCTTGGAGAATAGAGAAAGGGAGGAGGAGCAAGACAAGAGTGGAGATCAATCTAACCTGCCAGGAACATTTCCCGAAACACCTGCTGCTGAGCAAAAGGATGACAATGCATTCAGTGTCAACCCCTTACCCGCTGCTCCAGGAGGCGTAAATCCCTTCAAGCTCGCGCCTGGTCAGGAGATCCCCGAAGATGTAGCTGCTGCAAGCACTACAGAGCACGTCAAGCTAGACCCCGAGTCGTACGAGAAGAGCGACACACTGCCAGGTATTAATCCACCAAGAATGTCACTCTGGAATCTTATGTATTAACTTTTAACACAGGTGGCCTTCCCGCTGCTTTCTCCTCGGCTGCTCCGACCGCCACTACAGCTACCCTCGCAGCCGATGCTCCCATTGAGAGCAAGGTACCCGAGGTCGTAAAGGAGAGCCAAGAAAGGGCGGGCGCCGATCCTGAAGCTAGTGAAATCGCTGAGGAGGTGGAGGAGAAGGCAGCTGTCGAGAAGGAGCTCCTAGAAAAAGTGAAGGAGGCCCCATCGACCGCTGAAGGCACTGCGGGCGTAGGGACAGAAAAGACTGAGCACGTCGTTACCCCTGGCGAAGCTGCCGCATCTGTTGCTGCCGCCGCGTCCGCGGTTGCGGGTGCTGCTTTGGTTGGTGCCACTGCTGCTAAAGATGCTGCTCTAGACACAGCACATGATTCTGTTGCTGCGGCTCAGGCAGCGGCCGCCTCGGCCGCCGCCCAGCTCTCCGATTCAGTCAAAGACATCAAGTTGCCCGAGTCTGTGCAAAGCGCCATCGGCGGTACGACAAAGGAGGAGGTGCGGGAAGAGGCGTCGCCCGAGGTACCTGCTGAAGTGAAGGAATCTATTACTGAGGCTGGTAAATCACCAGAGGCAGCTGCCAACACGGAAGCTGTCGAAGACAAGAGAGCCATGGAGGCTGAGCTGCTGCACGAGGTTGATCGAGTAGATGCCGCAGGAGACGCACCTGTCGATGTCTCCCCAGAACCCGAAATTCCCGAACAAGTGTCATCGGCTGTTCCGGCTGCTGTCAAGGAATCCTTTGCCGAGGCTGGGGAATCGCCAGAAGCCGCCACAAACACCGACGCTGTAGTGGAGAAGAAGACTGTGGAGAACGAGCTGTTGAGAGAAGTGAAGCCTGTAGACGGTACGGGTGCAGAGGAGGAAGTCTCCTCCTCTGTCCCCGCCGCTGTCCAGGAATCCATTGCTCATTCAGGCATGGCTCCCGCAGCTGCTACGAACACCGACGCTGTGGTGGAGAAAAAGACTGTCGAAGAGGAATTATTGAAAGAGGTCAAGCCTACCGAAGCTATTTCCAGCGAACCCGCTAAAGAAGAGGCCTCAAACACAACCGAAGCCCCGAAGATAGCCGAAGCTCCAGCCGCAACCGAAGCGCCGGCGGCGAAAGACACCCCCGTCAAGGCCGTCCCAGCAACCACTGAAGCCCCTGGCACATCTGTGGCTGCTGCTACCACGGAGACTCCGGCGGTGGCGGCGGCAAAGGCGGCAGATGCTCGATCGAAGAAACCGGAGGTCGCGACCAACGGCAACAAAGCGTCAGAGAACCCAACAACGCCTTCCAAGCCGACGGAAGAGGGAACCCCATCCAGCAGCAAAGCCACCGATAGCCCATCGACGACTGACAAGAAGAAGAAGCACCGGCTCAGCGCCATGTTCGGTAAAGTAAAGGCGAAGCTGGCGCACAAACAATAATTGTCGCATAACAGGCTGTTTCCGGTTTCTCTTTGGTCGATTCTTCGGGTGTTTTTGTGAAGTTGGTTCCCTTTGAAAGCTTATGATTCCCCAAATGCGTCCCACTTTAGCAGATGACGACTTATGGATCGCATCGTATCCTTCAAATCATATAGTGTACATACATAAAATTGTTTATTGACAGAAATAAATTGTGCCAGGCATTGCCCGTCATGGGAGTGATGTGACTAGGAGGAACCCTCAAAAGCAGCATTCCGCCAATATCATGTCTCCATTTGTGTTCGGCATCTAACCTTGGCCGAGCATGAGTTCTATTCGGCCTCCTGCTTGTCTGTCTATAACTGTTGTCGTTGACTCTTTACTAGAAAGTATATTGCTCGGGTTAATATGTGGCCAGAACAAGAAGCCAAGAACATTTCACGTTTGGGCAGAAGCTGGAAGAGGCATATATGTCATGAAGTTCTTCTGTACTGGGATTTAAAAATATTTGCGGGTATAAGGGGGAAAAGTAAAAAAACTTCAGAAAAAAAATATAATCAATTCCAGTAGTAGTATTGATGCTTCCAAGATTTACAAGTATTCATCGACCAGGGCCTGATTCGAACAGACGCTCCCGAGGGAAATAGATTTCTAGTCTATCGCGTTAGACCACTCCGCCACCTGGCCTTGTTTGTGGATAATGGATTCATGGAAGATGGCCGGGATAGGAGGGTTCAAGTTTTGGCTTCGGAGCGTCGGGTCGGGACGGGACTAAAAGTGCCAATATCTACGAGGAGTGTGGCGTTGTAGCATTGTGGCGTTGCGACGACTAGTATCCTCGGGGCCAAGACTAGCAGGAGCGAACTACCTTAGATAGGTAAGTACGTAGTCTACGGGTGCATCTCGTCACCACTCCGGCCCCGCCGTAGCGTGACTCTTTGCTAGTAGTTGTACTACGAGTACGGTAGGCAATAACTGGACCAACACGGTCTGACAAAACCAACCTGACTTGACACTTTTACCAGCGCCTTCACGGTCCGGGTCCGTCCGTTGAGGGACCCCTTCTTTCTCTAAACTGCTCTCATCTGATTAACTCATCATATGCCCATTCGAAACATTGTTAGGATAGGCGTTTCGTTACCACTTGTTTCAGATTTGTCGAGTCGCCCTATTAATTCCATCTGAACGACATACCGTGCTAGCCAGCCTCTGTCCCTCAATAGTGCTGCCCTACTGGTGCGTCAACAGTCCCAACTTGTTGTAGCGCCGCAGTGGTGTGATTGTTTGACAACCTCCTCCACGACGATGAGCTCTGGCGGTCCAAACAGCTTGGGAGGCAAGTCCCTTTCGACTCATAGCTCTTCCTCTCCACAGCACATATCCGCACCACAACCCAGCTTCGAATCGTCGAATCCACGCCGGCCCGGCCCGAGTCCCTCTGCTCCCAATTCCGCCGCACCGAGGAAAGGGCAAGCGTCGAGGAAACAACACCGCAACCAACGAAGGCCTTCCGGGGGTGCGAACCCTGATGATGACGATGCTATGGCAGAGATCGTACGTTGAGCCTTGCGTTTATTCCTTCATTTTAGTCGTTCGTCCGTTGTGCTCGTTCCCGAATTAGGCACTTCGCGCTCTGATCACTAATGGCTTTTGAGCAGAGAGCTATCCGGAATGCGTCAAGTCGTCGGGGGCAAACTTCGATCACCCATCTCTTAAACTATTCGGTGCCTTCTCGCCATTACCAGGAGATTCATCATAGAGCAACCCGTCGCCATCCGACATGGGGTCCTGGTTCGGGTTATCACGCTGTGGACAAGGCAAGGTCTGTGCAAACCCAAGAATCCTTCGAATAAAACCTGCACGTACCTGCTGGCCTCGGTGCTAATATATGGCGCAATCCGTAGATTCGTCCATGCCAACTATCGCTTTGTCGTTTCGCCAACGGGTGATTATAGCTTACAGTCGGTCGATTCCGATAAGCATCTCGACTGGTCCGACGTGCTACAAATCCTCGCCTCCTCCAAATCACAAACCACGGCTTGTCCTATATGTCTTTCGGATCCTGTTGCTCCTCGCATGGCTCGCTGCGGCCACATCTTTTGCCTTCCCTGCCTTTTACGATTTATGAATTCCACAAATGACGAGGAACCAAGCCCCCGAAAAGAGGCACGTTGGAAGAAATGTCCTATTTGTGAAGACTCTTTTAGGCTCGCCGAAGTCCGCCCAGTGCGTTTCCATGAGGGACAAGAAAACCCTTTGCCGGGCGTTGGCCATGATGTCGTACTACGCTTAATGGTCCGTGACGCCGGTTCGACCTTGGCGCTCCCGGACGAAGCAGGAACCGATGTGGCGAATGTGGGCGAGGATGTCCCATGGCACTTTGCAGCCAGTGTATTGGATTATGCGCGCATTATGAAGGGGACTACCGAATACGTCGTTGAACAGTTCGAACGTGAAATAGAAGATCTTCGGAGACAGGCGCAAGAAGATGAACTTCAGTTCGGCGCTGAGGAAGGGGAATGGACACAGCGCGCCATACGGGCCATCAACACAGCGAAGGATAAGGCGATAAACCAGGCGCAAACTGCGGAACCCGTGGCCCCGGTTGCGACACCAAAAGCAAAGCATCCTTCAGGGCAAAAGTTCCATTTCTACACGGCGCCTCCGCACTTATACCTTTCGCCACTAGACATTCGTATACTGAAGACGAAATTTGGTGACTTTTCTAACTTCCCATCCACGCTACTGCCACGTGTTGAGCATATATCAGCTGGTCACGTGGTAGACGACGCTTTGAGGAAACGTGCGAAGTATCTAGCACATCTTCCCCAAGGTTGTGTCGTCAGCTTTCTAGAGTGTGATTGGACCGACATCGTGCCAGCTGAGATACTCGAGACCTTTGCCGGCGATCTAGAAAGACGGCGGAAACTACACCGAGACAAGGCGACACAGGAAGAACGGGAAAGGCTCCAAGCCGAGCGTCTCGAAGCGGCAGCCATCGGCCGTAGCACACAGCGCCATTTTGACAATCTCAACGAAGATAAATTTGAATCGCCGCCTGTGGTCAACTCGGAAGACTTCCAACCGCTCGGCTCCCTGTCGGGAACCTCTCCTCCTAACCCTCGACCCGGTTTCGAACAGCTCGCCGACATGTCTACCAGCCCATCGACTTCAAGGACAGTATGGGGGACTCCAGCCATCCCCGTTTCTCCCGAGCTTAGGCCTACCTCGGGAAGCCGGGTGGACGACGGCTGGCTTAACGACGACGACCTATTCGGACCAGCTGAAATAGCTTTCCAGATGGAGGCGCTCGGCCTTGATGGTGCAGGCCCAGCTACCTCAAGCTCGAGTCCCCGTCCAGGTCTAGGATCTGGCACGCCGACAGGCGGAGGTAATGGAAAGAAAAAGAAGAAACAGAAGATTACGCTGATGAGTACTGGCGGGCGGCGTGGCACGTGATATCGATATTGATTCCTGCTTATATATGTCTATGAGCGCGAGTGCTTTTTCTATGGAGAATACCGTGCATCTCACAAAGGCCAATGCATCAGTTCGGTCGAAGACGGCGGTGCTAACGGGTACAGAAGGGAGAGCCTCGGTCAGAAATCGCATGCTACGTAAAAGGATATTCGAAGAGACAATCCATCGGTAGATGCAGTTTCGGTTGTTGAGTATCCTACAACCTTACCTACCTACCATACAAGTAGCAATATGACGCTCGTACAAGATACCCTAGGTTATTTATTACCTATTAAACTCGGACGCTTTGATCGTTACCACATCGTTGCCTCTTTGCCGTGATTCTTATCTTATCTTGCGTCCCCGCCCGGCAATATGGGACGACGTAACGTGCCAAGACATCGAGTTGACGAGCATGTATGCTCCAATAAGTGCTTATGGTCGACATACTTCCTGTATTTGTGTTACTAGTTAGCTGTTTTCTTCTTCTTCAAACCTAGCATTCACTGGATAGAAAGAGTCAGCAGATGCTCCTGTTGTCTCCTTGCTGAACACCTAGCACGATCGAACCCGACTTGGCTTGCTTGACAATACGTGACTCTGACTCCACAATACTCACTTCTCTCCCTACGTTACAAAGGCAGGGAACTATAATAGCAAAATATAAGGGGAGAAACTTTGGCACCTGGACAAGGCATGGCCGGGATTGACGGCGAAAGCAGTGGTGGTGGTAACGGCAGTAGTCGTCTCCCACCGCGCCTGCACATAGATCCCCCACTCTTCAACTCGGCTAACCCCTGGGCAACGACGCTTGAAGATCTGAGAAAGCTGTACGAGTGCAAATCTACGGGTGCCGTGACGACCCGTACGGCGTTGCTGCATGGCTTTCCACACGACGATGCGACTCACCAATATGCCTTCTTCGAGACGGGGAGTCACGTGTCGCGGGGCGACAAGGAGGATGCTAGTATAAACAATCTGGGCTATAGTCCGATCCCATTGGATAATTACCTAGACTTCATACGTGAGATCGATCGAGAGCGAAAGGACAGAGGTGAGGGCAAGGGCAAGGGCAAGGGAAAGATGAAGCCGTTTATCATTTCAGTCACGGGTTCGCCCGACGAAATAGCCGAGTGCTACCGCCGCATCGCGACATGTCAGTCCGTCGTCGTCGTCGATATCCCGCTTGCCATGGAAATCAACCTCAGCTGTCCGAATATCCCGGGACGACCACCGCCCGCTTACGAAGGCGCGGCTTTGAGGAACTACCTCGGAAGGATGACGGAAGCGGCGCGTGCGCATTCCATACCGTGGGGCGTGAAGACGCCCCCGTACACGCACGCGGGTCAGTTTGATATGTTGGTCTCGGCGCTGCGCGATTACTCTGGGGTCTCGTTTGTCACTGCGACGAATACTCTCGGCTCGTGTCTCGTTTTGGATCATGACGGACTCGAGCAGGTTTTGCCCGGCGCGGGAATGGGTATAGGGGGTATGGCGGGGGCGCCGCTACACCCGCTTGCGCTGGGGAATGTCGCCACGCTTCGGCGGATGCTGGATGAGAAGCCTGAGACGAAACATGTCATGTTGTTGGGGATCGGGGGTGTTTCTGATGCGCGGGGGTATAGGAGGATGAAGAGCGTGGGTGCTGACGCCGTTGGGGTCGGGACGGCGTTGGGGATTAAAGGGGTGGGTATTTTTGGGGAGATTGAGAAGGGGTTGATGGGAATTTGGGAGGTTTAAGATTTTTTATGTAGAATTGGTAATGCTTGGGTTGTATTATGATGATGGTGATGTTGACGGCTAGAATAAAGGATAGGGGGGGGGGAATTGATTATGAAAAGATATTGTTGCGTGTAAATACAAATTCCAAGTAGATAAGTTTCTTTTGGTCTACACCGAGAAAGGTACAGATTCTATGGTGAGCTCTTCTTACCTTCCTCCTCTGAGGGGTAAGGTTAGGTTCTTGCACTTTCCAGTTCTTGAAGATCTACCCACATACAACCAATTTAAAACCACGACGGATAGCGATCGCGACTACCTGAGCTCGTTTTACAACAATTCAGTTGTTTTCCATCTTTGGACGACATATATATTTGGCTATCATATTGATATAATATGGTGTTGGTTGGGAGATTCAATTCTGAGCTCTTGCAACCCCCCTCGCGGTTAACACAACCTACATACGTAATCCCTCAGCTGCTACTGGGGTAGATGGACGTTTACGCCAC